TCATCAGGACACTTCCGGGCGACGCTCATTTGTTTGGCGGTGGCTCGGGGAGACTGTTTTTGGAGAAGCGTCGTCCCATGGGGAGCGGCCAGCTCTGGTTCCTGCTCTGGCAGGACAACTGCTCGGTCTCCGAGGTCCCTCTCAGCGCCAGCTACCAGTCTGGATCCCACGTGCCTGTGTGATGCCTTTTTCCGTAAGGTATTAAAGAGGAGGAACAAGCGAGGACCACGTGCGGGCGTCCTGCCTCTGTCCACACGCTGCGGCCACGTCCACCCTCCCGCCCGGGATGCCACCTCCTTGGAAGGCCTGGGCCCGCGGACAGGTCTGAATGCCCTGGTTACACACTCTGCGGCGGGGCCGTCCCCATCCACCTGTCACCCTACAGATATGCTGCCCTGGTGGTATCTTGTGTTTCCTGTTAGACGGTGCAAGGAGACCCGGCCAGGCCGCCACTTCCCACTGCATCTCCAGGCCCAGGACAGAGTCTGCCGCCTGGCGGGCCTCAGACACCCGATGACTCGGAACCGAATTACAGGAGGAAAGCAGCAGTTTGCGTAAATTAATACAGTGTCTTTTCTTTTTAATATTTTAAAGGTTTCATGATAATTTGAAAGAATTTTTCCCTCTGCTGACGCCTGCAAACCTACGACGCATGTGAACAGAGCACTGTGACTGGCCACACGATGGGCCTGTGTCTTACTGTCTGGCGTCCCTTCTCCCCCACGTGACACACAGCCCAGCACTTTCTTTTTCTAGTCTTCTGTGTCCTGACAGAACTAAACAGACATGTACATGCCCGACACCCACTGCTGGCAGATCTGCGCACTAGCGCCCCCAGCCTTTCCCAACGGTCTGCCACAAGGAGAGAATCGAGGCCTGATGCCGCGCTGTGCCCGTTCAGTCTCCTGCACAGATGAAGCAGGACCAGGGCCAGCGAGTGGGAGACAGGGCAGAGGCGGGTGGGCAGCGTCTTTTCCCAGGAAGCCTGAGTGTGGCCACCCTGACTGAAATCCTCCAGGGCAAGGCTGAGGGCTCTCCCTGGAACCCGGCCACAAGGACGGCTCCTGAGTGCGCAGCTCTGCCCCAGGGCTCCTCCCTGTGGGAGACTCTGGTCTCACCCAAGGGTGTAACGAGGTCCAGGCATCCTCCCCGCCTGCTCAGGCCTCCGGCATGGACCCGGGATGTGACGTCAGGAGAGAAACACAACCAAGGAGCAGGTGGCCTGCCTTCCCTGCAGAGACCCACCAATGGGAGGGCGTGCAGTGCGTCCAGGTTCCCCCACGGCTGCCAAGAAGCGGTGATGAACCGCAGTCTGGCTGCTTCCTGACTGTGATTTCCCAGCACATGATCGTTTGAGGTTTTATGAATTTGAAACAAACTTAGTGCAGCCTTTAACTCTTACCTCACTGCAGATTTTTTCTGGGGTTCAGAAGAAAGTCGCCGAGCAGACACACGCAGGGGAGAAGCCAGAGCCCTGGGCATAGTTTTAGGGGTCGCCACGGGCAGGCTGGAGAGTCGACGGCTGGCAGGCGTGGGCAGGGCTGACCTGCGCCCCGTGCTCACAGGGGTCCTCACGCTGCTTACGAGGCTCTGCGATGCTGAGGACCATCTAGCAGGAGTGCTGTGAGCAACCCTAGAAACACGGAAGTCTTAAGCAGAACAAAAGATCTAACAATTCAGCCATGTGCTAACGCAGTAGAAAGTCCGTGGTTTCAATGTAGAAGGTTCAAGCCAGCGAAGCCCATTAAAGCCCTGTCCTCTGAGCAGGGGGTGCTGCCACCGACCCCCCGGGAGCCCTGGCATGGGCTTCGGTTCCTCAGTGGGCCCATTTGAGGTTCTGATCCAGTGTGGCTGCACATCATGGGTGGTACCATGAAATGCTCTCCATGGGAGCTCACAGGGATCTCAAAGTCACCTCTCACTGGCGTTAAGTATTTCCACAAGGAAGTCCAGACCCAGGGCGGGCCCGGCCGGCCACGCGAGCCGACAAGCACTCTCCCTGTGTGCACCTGCTCCTGGGTCTAAGGCCCCTGAATCAGCTGTGAGCACAGGTGAGTGACCCGGGGCACCGGATGCCTGTTTCCCACGCATCTCTCCTTCCCACCCTGGTGATACCTGTGGCTTCACCTGCCAACGCATCCTGCCTCACTGTCAGTTCGTTTGGTTGTTGATAAAGGAGAGAGGCCGAATAAAGTAAACTGTTATCTTATTAAATAAAACAAAGTCACGGACCTCCCGCCAACGTGGAGCCCATGGGAGGCCAGATGACACATGTATCATCCGTCAAGGACAGTCTTCATGCTCAAGAGTCTAAATGCAGACTTTAACATCTACTGAAAGACAGTCGCTGCAGGAGCGTGGGTAGGAGAGAGGTGCTGTAAGCAAGCTGCTGCGCCCTGCAGACTTCTGGGATCTGCCCCATGTCCTTCTCTGCTGAGCACCGGCAGCTCCACCACGAACTCCAGTGAAAATAGAGACAGATTTAAACAAATGTAAGCTTCAAAGTAGCCCTGGCAGGTAGGAACCGTTTCCCTATTGTACAGGCGAGAAGACCGGGGCACAGAGAGGTGAACCGAGGCCGCCAGTGGCCATCAGGTCTGGGTTTTGCTCTGAGCCGCTGCGCGTGGCGGGAAGGCGGCTCAGCATGGCTGATACTGTAAGGGAAGTGTCTGGCCCAAGCCCAGGAAGTGCCCAAGTTCACATACAAGGAAATGAAGGCCCGGAGCCGCGCAGAGTGGCGGACAGCCCAGGCTGGGCTGGGGTGGACCCGGGATTAGGGCCCTGCTCTGGCGCTTGTCCTGCCCGCCGCACCCCAGCAAGGTCCGAAGCAGCACTCCCACCCTGGCCACATGCTGGTGCCGGGACCCCAGCCTTGGGAACAGTGCTCCTGTGGGTCAGAGTGACCTCACTTTTGCCCCGCCCCCAGCTGACGGGCCCAGGACTGAGCTGCACTGGGCCAGGGTCCCTCCACTGTGACAGCACTCAGAGCTGGGCCGGGGCCCGGTCACCAGAGGGCCAGACGTGTGGGGGAGCAGCCCACCCACCTCAGCAGGTGGCAGTAAAGGTGGCAGCAGGAAAGCAGTCAGGGGAGGGGCTGCCCTTTGTGTGAATGACTCCCAGGCAGGCACACGTGCGCGCGCGTTTTCTTACTGTTTGCGGCACTGCTGTGCTGTGCTTGGTTCCATCCCCACTGGACAGATGCGGAAACGAGGTCAGAATGGTAACCTGCACTAGATCTAGACCACACAGTGGCAGCACTGGGACTCAAACCGGAGTCTGAGTGGCTGAGCCAGGCCAGTGGTCTTCAAATGGGGTGCACACGAGTCACCTGTGAGACCCTGCAGGCCCAGGGCTCCAGCCCAGACCCACTGATCGGAACCTCCGCGGGGGGCTGGGCGGTCTGGCTGGAGAACTGCAGGTTCAGGCCTGAGGACTGGCACTCCCAGCTCCGGAGGCGAGTCTGGGGCCGCTGTCACCTGGAGGGACACGAGGGCGGCTCCAAGAGACCAGGCTCAGGCCAGGCATGTGGAGCCAGGCTGTGGGTTCAGAAGTTAGCAGGGGCCTCAGTTTGGTCTCGTAAGAAAAGAGTGGCATGGACACATACACACTACCAGATGTAAAATAGATAGCCAGTGGGAAGCAGCCGCATAGCACAGGGAGATCAGCTCGGTGCTTTGCGACCACCTGGAGGGGTGGGATAGGGAGGGAGGGAGGGAGGGAGACACACACACAAAAAAAATGTTGGTCTTAACCACACTGGTTAGTACTCAGTTGACAATACACCTGTAGGGTAGTGTTTGCAGTAGTGACTCCAGGTGTAAATCCCTCTTTTACATAATTCTTGCTACTGTAATTTTGGGAGAGGCATCCTGTGAGATCTAACAGACAGTGGATGTTTTCACGCTGTCAGCTGTCTTCTCTTACCCTGAAAAATCCTGAGTATAATCTTCACTCTGCAGTTTGGAGCCATCTGTCCCTTAGTAGGGGTGGGTGCAGTTGGATGAGATGATGAAGCCCTGGATCCCACTTAACTGGGCACCGGTGCCAGGGTGGGCACACACTCCCAGCGTCTGCACCAGGCAAGATTTTTATTCTGCAGATAAAAAATGGAAATGGAAGTGGAAAGTTTTCCATGTGAACGCCCCACTTTGGAGAACCCGGACACAGCAGAAAGCAGCCACCCCTACATCTCCTTGGCCTGGGAGGTGAAGGCAGCAGATGTGGAGTACAAATTGCTTGCAGCCTCCTTATCACTTCATGGGAATGCTGGACAGTGAGCCCCCAAGGACTCCCACTGCAGACATGCCCCGATTTCAGCTCCAGCTCCCATGAGGTGAAGAGAGCATCTGTTCCCAAATCACTCGGTGGGCTGAGGGCTGATGTCTGCATCGTCGTCTGTGCCCAGGCTTCTGCTTCTGCAAAGCCATCTCTGTCTTCACTGAGCCCTAGGAGCTCACCACATGGTGTGTCCCCCTACCCACCCCGCATGGTGCTACCCTCTGCTTGCACCCGCCCCCCATTCATGCTCTTCTCCCTGTGCTCCTGCTCTCATCAGGAACAGCTTAGCCTTTCCATTTATTGTATTGGTTTGTGCATTTTTTTAAAACTCCTCAGGCTTCCATGCCCTGCCCCAAGGATCTCATCAAGTGATTTTCCTTTGGTTCCTCCCGTGGTTAGCTATTCCTCAGGATGGTCCCACTGGTTCTCATCTCCTGGT